GGGGCGGGGTGAGGAGAGGGAAGGGGAGAGGAAGAAGTCGGCAGGTCGCTTCAGAGCAGTCACTTGTTTTTTGTCCTGGCAAAGATTACAGTGAATCGTTTTAATTAACCAATATTTCTTAATTGTTTCTTTTTAATATTCCGAGAATTATCAAGGTTTTATGTCTTTTTCAAAATGACTTTATCTTTTTTTCCTAAACCAAGAAAAAACCTTTTGCTTTTTTAAAATGGGCTATGCTACAGTTTTTGAGTGGTTCTATTTTTATCGTATGGCTAAATTGCACCTTGCGTCAGATGTGATATATTTACAATTGTTTCCGAGTTGTGTGAGTATGCAAACTCTCTGGCGTTATTTGCGTACACAACCTTAGTTAAGTAGTTAATTCTTGATTGTCTTGCTAACTTCAAACGTTCTAGTCGAAACTCAGAAAACAAGAACACAACGCAACCTCTTCGTGGGGGTGAAAAAAGGGATGGGAGTAAATTTTCCATTTATAATAACATTTGAAAATTACCTCCAGCGGTTCTTTAACGACGAATACGACTCCGTTCGTCAACTGTCTAACCAATGCCTTCTATACTCTCCCGCGAAAAAAATGACTGTCTACATGTTAAGAAAATCGTGTTAGAGTATTAAACAGACATTTATTCTTTATAAATGAGCAAATTGAGTGTCGTCTGTTTTATTATCATATAAAGTATTTGCTTTTATTATATCAAGGTGAAAAACTTATGAGAGATTAAATTTTTCCCGGAGAGAATATACAAGACATTAATGTCAAGGAGAGTCGACGATTCTCGAGTAGTCCACATTGCACACGCTCGACAGTCGATATAATCGTAAACTGTTCGCATCGGTGTGCTTCACAAGCCGAAACCGGAACCGGAAACAGGAACGGCGCTGGTGTCCTCTTGCGGCACTGAGGAGCAGCCGGAAGGGGGCGATCCCCGGGTCCCCCGGCCCGAGCCGACACCGCGGACGCAACAAAACAACTGCGAGTGTTCGGTTCGCGACAGGGGCGCCCCTACCAGCCACCGCCCGCGCCTCGCTCGTGAACCGGCGCGCGCGCAAAGACCCTGATGACGAGTGTGAGTGATTGTGAACATGAATGAGTGTGTAAGAGGAAGTACATGAATGTACGTATGTTGTACGTATTGCTGACGTCGACACGCTTATAAGGCTTATTGCTTACGAGGTCACCGCTCGAGTAACAAAGGTATGTCCATCTGAGTCACGGACGCCTCAAGGGCGACTGTGCCATTTTCGTACGGGGAACCAACCTGCAACGTTTTTGTTTTAAATTTTGAACGAGTTGTCCAATGATACCATGTACACATTATTTTCTATGTCCAGTTACACCAGTATGCCTTGAATCTCAAAATAACGTGTTGTGCACAGTGATAAATTCGAAGTGAATCAACATTGCTCAAAACAATGAATAACACCCTTGTTTCCCCCGAATGAATGGTCCCCAAAGGCGCATCGCGGTACTCAAAATAACCCAAATTACTCGCTGGTTCCAACGGAACCTGAAAGCGCCTAGTGGTGTTAAAGGCCCCAAATGGTACTCCTAGACCTCGAACTATATCCAGTAGCACCCGAAACGTCCCCCCCCCCCATTCAAGCAGGTGGTCACCCAACAGTGCCGTGGCTCCCCGCAGCAACGAGGGGAGTTTCGACGATAACAAAAAAGTGAGCGAGCGCGAACGAGTCCCGCTGCGGGCGGACGAAGCGCGAGGTTCGGCCGGCGGTGGCGCGGGCGTCGCTGCGGGCGGGGGCGTCGGCGGGCCGGGGGCCGGGGCGGGGGCGGTGCGGCTGGCGCTGGGCGCGGCGCGGCGCGGGGCGGCGGGGGCGGCGGAAGGGGCTGGTGAGCGGAGGCGGCGGGCGCGGGGCGTCGCGTGTTCAGTTCTTCCTCGGCCCCATCTCATGAGCAGGCGCTTCTCCGTCGGCGGAATCTTGGAGTTACTTGATGTCGTGGCTGCGTTGGTTCGGTTTACAGCGGACGGCGCCTGGCAGGATTGATTGAGCTGCCGTGCCCAACACGCACGCCACGGTGAACAGCCAGAGGAACAGCCTGTCCAGCACCATGGCCACGTACTTCCAGTCCTCCTCCACCTGGGGGCGAGCGCGGCCGCGTGAGGATGCCAATCGGTGGTTGGGGTGGGGGGTGGCATGCGGAGCAGCTTGGTCGTGCAAGGGTGATTTACGAAAGGGAACTAAATCTCCTCTCATGCACGAGGTCGAAGATGTTAGAGCCAGACAACTAGTACAAGATGTAAGGATCCAAATCCAGAAAAAGCCAAACTTACACAAAACTCAAAGTATGTTTATAAAAACAAATATTTCATAAGGTAGCAAGGTCTCTCAGAGAAGAATTACTTCGATAGTAAAATAACTGAAAAATGAAGAACGTTAATGGGATAGGAAATTTCCTGTATTTTAGATCACATTTTAATCGGTTTTATAAATGTGATTGGCTTCGTAAAATGTAGTTGGAGATAAAGACATTTAAATGTCAAGTAGTGAAAACATGAATGATCAATTATTATTACGCATTTATTGGTCATAATATTATATAGAGATAACCATAAACTGTATTATATCACAAAAACACATTTAAGCTCATCTTTGAATTTTAACATTTCAATTCGATGATCTACCAGTAAAAATATATTCATCGTGCTCACTAGTCAATCTCGGTGACTGAAACTATTAAGAGATGGGACAATATTTTTTTAAGCAAAATTTTGTCGATTTGCATTTGGCATCGATAATTATATTTTCAATTTCCCTCATTACTTTCACAATTTTCTAAACGGAATATCAATTTCGTGACATTCACGGATAAATTATAGAAAGGATATATATTTAAAAAAATACGTTTATTCACTGCTAAGTAAGTAAAATTATATTGATGTAGAATATTCATAAGGTAAAGATATCAAGTAAAGATTAGAGATGAATAGATATGTTACTTTAAAGAACGTCTCCTTTAATATTAACGGGGTAGGCCGTTTGGCACGACGAAATAGTTTATTTCTAGATACATTTTGGTATGTCAGATATTTGATTTTTTTAATATCTTATAAAGGATGCAATTTGTTAATAGAAGTATTAATTGTATTCTAAAAAGAAAAAAAGAAACCGGTAAATTCGTCGGATAATAAACTGGTAAATGGAAGCTTAAAAGCTTCTTCTATGAATACTAATGTAAATAATTCTGTATTGTATTATTATATGTAGCTTGTACCTCTGTAGAATTCAGAGTTAATCACAGTAAGAGTTAGGTAGAACATGTATCTTTTGGCGTATTAAAATATGGAAAGCATAGATATGCTCAATGGAGGCGCAGCATTTAATAGGTACAAAAATGTAAAATAACTTTTCAAAGCAAATATTGTTTATAATAATAATAATAATAATAATAATAATAATAATAATAATAATAATAACTTAATTCTACACAAACCACACAACAAACTTATTAACAAGAGAAGTGTACACCACAGGGAAATAATTATAGGTTGGTATAATTAATTCATTTATTATAATTATTTATTCTGAAATTAATGTGAACAAATTACTTAATGAATTAATTGCGAACAAACATGAAATATAATTACGACTGAATCGTATTGTAGAATTTATGAAAACATAGATTAATGGAATTCTATATATTTCCTTAAAGAGTCTGAAGTGCTGTGGAAGGTGATGTATACCAGCTGTATTTATGGATAGTTACTAATGAGTATCTTCCCAATTCGTGTCATTTACGAAAGATGACAAATATACTTATTTTTAAAATATATCAACAAATTCTCAAAAAATCTTTTAATTTGAAAATGATAATATTCACTTAACTGTACTTGCAAACAGGTTAGTAAAAAACAACTTACATAAAAACAAAAGGTTATACTAGTTCGTTAGGTACCATTTCAAATGAAAATACAAATAATATCACTTCCAAGAAATACTTCTAAGAAGACGGAAAAACAAAATTACTCTCCAAAGACAAATTCTACAAGTGGAAATAATGCCATTCCAACATTAATTTTAATGCCCAAAGCATGGAAGGCACAACGGGAAAATGTTGAGGCACTCAGAAAATTGCATTCACACGATTTCTATAGACTCAGCTAAAATAAAAATTCAGTTAATGCACGATGAACTAAAAGATCAAACAATCCATAGCCGCTTACTGGGTCTAAACGTATTGAAAATATTTGTTTTTGTTTGTAATAACAGACAATAAATATATACTTATTCGCAAAACGAAACAAAATGTAATATAAATATGACATATAATGAATATACATAATATGAATAATGTAATATAAAATAGACTCTTCTTTTGAAATTCACTAATAAAAATATAAAAGCTTGGATGATAGCGACCTACGGCTACATGAAAGCGATTGGACCACTATTAAGATTTTGTAAATTTAAAAAAATGTTGTTCTAGACGATCACGTTCTGATGGCACTGTCGAAGGACGGTGCTCTTTTGTCTCTCTTCTTGCAATATTATTTAATTCAAAATAATCGGCTACCGAGGTGTATTGGTCAGGAATACGTATCTCGTGCAAAAAGGGTGTACAAATGAAGAACGCAAGCCATACGTCCATTCAAAATACGTAGTCGTAGAGTAGCAGCCACAAGTGCACATAGAAGGTGTAGTAATTAAGGAAACAGTCTTAAGTGCACGCAAAATGTAGTAATACGTACAAACACAGCAGCAAGAGTTTTCAAAAAGGCACAATTATAAACAAAATATAAATGAGTACACAAATAGGTGTACGAATAAACAAAGCAGTCATAAATGCATATAAAAGGTGTAGCGGCCACAAGTACACATAAAATTATGTACGTATAATGACAAGCAGCAACGAGTACACAAAAAGTTGCACGAATAAACAAAGCAGTCATAAGCGCATACAAAAGGTATAGTTGTCAAAGAAGCAGTTATAAGAGCACAGGCATAAATCAAGCAGCAATGCGTGCCCCAAAAGGCGTTCGAAGGCAGCAGCGCGTGCGCGTGCGCGTGTGCGTGTGCGTGCAGGCAGGCAGGCGAGCGGCGGCGCCGTGCGGGGACTCACGCTCTCGAACTTGTCCTTGTTCTTGACGTGCTGCGCGATGAAGCGCGCGTCCTCGATGGTCTTCTCCAGCTCGTGCGTGGGCTTGTCGAAGGTGGGCGAGGCGTCGTGCGCGCCGCACAGGGGCAGCGGGGGCGGCGCGACGGCGGCCGCGGC